GAAAGTGCCCCCTGGAAGCTCAATCCTGCAGACACCTTGATCTTTGCCCAGCGGTACCGACTTTTGCACCGCCTCCCAAAGTCAGAGCACCAACAGGAAACAAAATAAGAAATTTCAATCTCGCGGAGAAGAAAAGAAATACCAAATGATGTCATAATGAGATGCTACTTCTTGCCTGTCAAATACCAAAGAGTTATTCGAACGCTTACAGAAAGGCACGGTAGCACATATGCTTTTGTACATGGCTCGGGGAGTGTACGGTGAGGCAGCTTCTCTGGAGAAAAGTTTGACAATATGTTCAAAAGCCACGAATAACTATGTATAGATCAAGCTGTGGTTTCCATTTCTAGGACACTAAACTGCAGGAATAATTCAAAAAATGAGTAGTGATTTATGCAGAAGATTGTCTATTCCAAGTTCGCAAACTGAGTGTGGGTCATTAGTTTTGCTGTCTTGGCTGCTGCAATGTCCTGATCCACTTCAAAACGTTCAGCTTTCATGGTCGTTTTGACTTTGGGGAGGACCCTGAAATCACATGGTACCAGATCCAGTTAATAAGGTGGACGAGGATACAGCGTTGTGTTCTGAGAAGCTGCCTTTCCCTTGGAAGGCATTGGGCATCTACCTTCACCATGTTTTTTATCACACCACACACACACTCGGGGACACTTCTGCAAGTGGAAAGCATGGCTGAGTGTGTTCGAGTCAGGTGGGGTATTTTGTCAATGTGTCTTTTACGGCCATACATGTTTTAAAACTTAAACACTCATCCTGTATTTTGACTGCATTTCATCTGTATATGGGTTACTTCCGCTTTCTCATTTCTAAATATTCTGAAGTGAGCATGAAGCCTTCTCTACTGGGGAAAAATACACATCATGCCTTGTGCGGGTCCACTCCCACGGCAACAGTGATTAACTCCAACCTCCTCTTGCCTCTGCCTGGCCTCATTGGAGCCAGCGCTGCCCGGAGCACATGAAATCACCCGCATTTATGGCCACACATCGTTCCCACGTCTCCTTTCTCGTATTCCTGCCTACAATTTCATCTAAGTTCCTTTCCTCTTTGCAAGAGAAAGAATTAATATGCTTTTCTGAATATGCTTCAGAAACCTGAAATGTCACACTAACGTTCAGCCGCCACGGCGCCTTGTGATGCGTCTGATCAAATTCATGGCATCAGCGCCGGTTCCTACGCTTATTCCCTCTCTTGCCCTCTGGCAGCAGATTCTAAAAGCCCCCTCTGCGCCACTTCCTCCAGCCTTTGTGTTTCAAAGTGCCTGCCTGCATTGAAGCACAGCATTTCTCTCTGCAATTCTTTTTTCAAAGTTTAATTGTCTCAGCCTTGGAAGGTAAATGAGAAACGTGATTAAAACCGAGAAAATGAAATTCTGACGCTCAGTGAAATAACTTTGGATTTCACTTGGCTGACACACTGTAAATCTCCAAAGAAAGAAATGAAAAGATTCCGTTTGAAATCCTCTCCTGGAACTAAAGCCAGGTATTTACCTTCCCAGAGCATGAACTAAAAATAAGGATGTTTACTGGGGTACTCACACATTCTCCTACCAAAGCAGAGACTACACAGAAAGTCCAATGTGAGGAGAAAGACAGCCTGCATGGACCAATGACCCCCTTTTCCATGCAGGGCTGCTCAGCTGACTAAGGCTAGGTGACAGGGACAGGTGCTGATTTGCAGTTCTCCAGTCAATAATGATGACTCTGTTGTCACTGAGAAAGACCTCAGGCTGGAGGACCACGTTCCTGGGTCCTTGGGTCAGCTCTGCCTTTCAGTTGTGCTATGACCTGCCATTTATGTTAGAAAACTTGTCACCTTGCCCCTTAGGGCAGTTCCTTCTCCTCCAAGGCTCCTTGGCTTCAGGTGTGGTGTCACCATCCTCCCTGGCTGATGGGCCAGGCATTGGAAGGTCCTCTCCCCTCACCTGCTAACCCAACTCCAGCTCACGTGCCTCTCTCCACCCTTCTTCTCACCCTTATTCTCATCCAAGCCCTTAGCAGCTCTGAGCTGGACCAGTGCCATGCTTCTAGTTTGGGCTGAGATCCAGTCTTATCCAAAAGTCTTTCTAAACATGCTCATCTTCTATGCCTGAGAGGCCACCGAAATTTGGATGTTGACCGTAACGAATCTGTGTATTACTTGAAAAGCATGGATATTTTAACACTCTCAATTCTTCTGATCTATAAATTCAAGTTATCTTATCATTTATACATTAAACAATTCTAAAATTCATGTGGAACCATAAAAACCCCTGAATAACCAAACCAATGCGGGGGGCGGGGGTTGGAGACATTACACATCCTGATTTAAAATTATATTACAAAGCTATCATAATCAATAGAATATGATAATAGCATGAAAACAGACATGTACATCAATGGAATCCAATAAAGAATTCAGAAATAAAGCTCAACATACATAGTTAATTTTTCACTAGGACACCGAAAAGGTAGGGAAAGGACAGTCTTTTTAATAAATAGTGCTGAGAAAGCTGGGTATCCACATGCAAAAGAATGAAATTGCACCTTTATACCCAAAAGTCAACTCAATAGATTGAAGACCTAAATATAAGAATCAAATCATAAAACTCTTAGAATAAAACATGAGAGAAAAGCTCCTTGGCATTGACCCTGGCAGTAATTTTTGGATATCACACCAAAAACTCACGTTACAAAAGTGAAAATTAACAAATGGGACTACGTTAAACTAAAATCTTCCACACAGAACAGGAAACAACCAACAAAATGGAAGTGTAGCCTGTGTGAGCCAGCTGTTGGCAATAGATTAGTGTCCAAAATATAGGGGAAAAAAAATCACACAATTCAACCACAAAAAAAAAGAAAAAAAAGAAAACCAGTCAGGTGTGGTGGCACATGCCTATAATCCCAGCACTCAGGAGGCTGAGACAGGAGGATTGCTGTGAGTCTGAGACCAGCCTGGGCTACACAGTGAGTTCCAGGTCAGTCTCAACTACATAGTGAGACCCTGTCTCAAAAAACAAAACAAAACAAAAAAACCAACCAACCAACCACAAAAACCAGCTAAGAAACAGCAAAGAATCTGGATAGACATTTGTCCAAAGACAAGAGGTATATGAAAAGATACTCAATGTCATTGACCATAAGAAAAACGCAAATCAAAACCACAATGAGATATTAACTCACACCTACTAAGATGACTATTACCAAAAAGAAAAGAGGTAAGTGTTGGTGAAGGGGTGGAAAAAAGCAAACCTTGTCTACTATTGCTGGGAAAGCGGCTTGGTGCAGCCAAATGTCCCAAAGAAACTTAAAATAGGATTGTCATGTGGCCATACAATTCCTCTTCCGGGCATATGCCAAAGGGGAGGAAACCACTCCAGAATAATATTTGCACTCCCATGGTGGATTCAGCATTGTTCACAATACCAGGGTATAGAAACTCTAAACACAATGGAAGTGGCCACTGGTGAAAGAATGGATGGAGAATAAAAGAGTGTGTGTGTAACTGGGTTGGGAATTGGGATTAGAGAGCTGTGAGGAAATTAGGTGGTTTTCCCCAACCACTACAGCTCACAGAAGCCTGCATGTTGCCACCCTTCCTATTCCTTGCCCCTCTTGCCAGTTCAGAACACAGGCATGGCCTTCCAGCCCTGAATCCAGCCCCCTTCCCTCTTCTTTCTTCTCCTCCTCCCTCCCCAGACTGTCTCCATTCTCAATTACTGGTTTTTCTGCCTCTCAGCAAATGCCAGGGCCTTCCCCAAACTCTTCTTTCTGCTCAAACCCTTCCCTCCTCTCCCCACCAGTTCTGGCTCAGACAAACCCTACTTATCCAGGGGTCAGGCACTCACAGTTACTTCTGCAGAACGACCATCCCTGAGCCCCAGGATGAACCTGACTCAGAGAGGTGGGATGACCTGCCCAGGCTTACACTGCCCTTGCTGTCTGTGAGCACCATAAGGATGTAGGCTATGCCTGACATGCTCAGAGCTGTAGCTCCAGCACCAAAGTCAAAGCTTAGTTATGCCTCCTCCATGGCTCTAGGCCTCCTGATCCTCTTCATCCCATGGCCCAGCCCCCCAGCCATCTCACCAGGCCTCACCACAGGCATGGAAAGCCATGGCCTTCTGCCAGGCCTCTCCTCCTGCCTCCCTTCCCATCCTAGTCTATGCCTACCCCACCACCTCTGGGCCCCTTCAGATAGGATCCTGGCCACGTCCGCTGCTCCCAAGACACCCAGGCCTATTCTCCCAGGATGAAGTTGTCTAGGCTCCTTGAACAGGTGTCTCATGTCACCCATTGTCTCTCCTCAGCCCCCAGAACCTTCTTTTTACCAAGCTCTGCCCCATGTTGGGGCCTTTTCTTTGTTTACGGCCTTTCTCTGGGAAATCTCCGCTCTACCTCCACCTTCCCTGCCCAACACCTGCTCACTATGGAGGACTCAATGTAGAGGCCGCCTCTCCTGGGCAGCCTTCCTTGATTCCACCCCATCTCTCTCCAACCTGGACGAGTGTCCCCTTCACAGAGGGGACACACAGCAAGTACGCTGCTGAGTTAGGACCCTAATCCAGGTTTTCGTGTTCGCAAAGCAGCAAGCTAAACCAGAAGAACAGGTAATTCCTCATTTAGGACAAAGAAAGAAGTGTGGAAAGATGCTCAAAATAAATGTATTAATTGAAAACAGCAACTTGCACGGCTTAATTCTATGGGGTGGGGACTCAACAGATCACATATGTTTGTGTAGGTTTTAAAGCACAGAACAAACCCAAAATAAATGCACTTTGAGCTGCAGATAGTCATTAGGATTGGGTTTGAACATTCTGTAAGGTCTAAATTCACTGTGTATTCTGCCCTACAAACATGACTCACAACTCTTCTCCAATGATAAGTAGAAGGCTGGACCTCTCAGGGACTGTAATGCACAGGGGTGAGTTTAGCACCTGACTCCACCCCACCAGTGGGGACAGTGAGAGCCAGCACAGTGGGTGGGAGGGCCACACTCACCTTTCCCAGCAGCTCAGGCAGGCCCAGCAGCTGCCCCGTGAACACACCCACGCAGATGAAGATGGCAGTCACCTGCCCCAGGGAGCCACGGATCTCCTTGGGAGAGATCTCGTTGAGGTACATGGGCAGCACGCTGAGAGCGATGCCTGGGGAGGAAGTAAGCAGCAGTGAGAGAGAAGTCTTCTGCAGGACGGGCACTCAGGCTCTGCACTGGCCTCACCTCTGCTTTCTCTGACAAGAAGTGACGCTGGACCATCAGCCTCCCTCCTGGCATGCACACAACTTGTGTAGCTTTCACTCCCACTCACTGTCTTACCCACAAAGTGAGGCTTGAGGCCAATTGCATGGAAGAGGGTAGAGATGATGGTGGTGGTGGAGGTGGCAGTGATGACAGTGAGGATGGTTATCGTGGAGAATGTAGTAGTCATGGTGATGGTGGTGATTATGTCGATGATGATGGTGACGGTGGTGATGATGGTGGCTACTGTGATAGTGATCATAGTGGTGATGGTGATGGTGGTGATGGTGGTAGTGATGGTGGTGATGGTGGTGGAGATGGTGTTGGTGGTGATGGTGAGGGTGATGGTGATGAAGGTGGCGACTGTGATAGTGATCATAGTGGTGATGGTGGTGATGGTGGTGGTGATAGTGATGGTGGTGGTGAAGATGATGGTGATGGTGTTGGTGATGGTGCTGGTGATGGTGGTGGTGATGGTGATGGTGATGATGGTGATGGTGTTAGTGATGATGATGGTGGTGGTGATGGTGGTGATGGTGATGGTGATGATGGTGATGGTGATGGTGGTGGTGGTGGTGAAGATGATGGTGGTGATGGTGATGATGGTGTTGGTGATGATGGTGATGGTGTTGGTGATGGTGTTGGTGATGATGAGGGTGGTGGTGATGGTGGTGGTGATGATGGTGATGGTGATGGTGGTGATGATGGTGATGGTGGTGATGGTGGTGAAGATGATGGTGGTGATGGTGATGATGGTGCTGGTGATGATGGTGATGGTGTTGGTGATGGTGTTGGTGATGATGATGGTGGTGGTGATGACGATGGTGGTGATGATGACAGTGCTGATGGTGATGTGGAGGTGTTGGCAGCGGTGGTGACAATAATACTCACAACCAACACACACAGTGCTTACCAAGTAGCAGGGGTAAGTCCTACTTCACATGTATTAATTTGCTTGCTTTTCACAATAACTTTATGAAGCAAGTGTACTATTATCATCTCTATTCTAAAGATGGCCTGGAGAGGTTGAACAACTTGCCTAAATCACCAGACGGTTATTTTGCCCAACTGAGTACTAGCACCTTCCTGGAACCTCACCTTTCCCCTTGGCTGACATTTTCTAAGAAGGAACTTGGTCACAAAAGCAGGGTCAGTCACATGCCCTCCTCAACTCTGAGATAAATTTACATGTTCGGGGGTTGATTAGGCACAGTGCACCTGAAGTAACAGTCAAAACTGTTTGACAAAATACTCACTGTACACACTTGTCAGTGTCAAGAGGCCCCATGTCACCTTGGTCCTGCGAGGAGTATTTGAAAGTCACCCTCACCCCAGGAGGTTCCTGGCTAGGTTAGAGCCCAGACTGCAGCTCTGGAGTTGCATGACCTCCAGGGGTGCAGCCCTGGGTCCCTGCAAGCTGTGGGGCCTTGGTGGGGCTGTTAGCTTCTCTCAGCCTCAGTTTCTCTGTCTCCAAGATGGGGATAAGAACTGAACCTCACAGTGGAATTTCTGTGGGAGTTATGCCAAGCTCAGTGACTTCTCATTGCAAAATCTGCACACATGAAGATGATCAGCCCTTAACACTCCTCTGCTTTTTCACCAGACTGTGAAGGCATCAAATTTCTCTCTCCTGCCCTGGCTTCCTGTTGCCTCCAGCACAGCTCCATACAGCAGGCACGGATCACCGTGCTCCATGATGAGCTGAATTTTCCCTGATTGCAAGCACCCAGGGAGCCCCTTCTGGGGGAAAACAAAAAACAAAAAACAAAAACCCCAAAAAAACCTAGCAAAGGGAATGCGGGACCCAATTTACAAAAATAGAATCCCATCCATTGCATCTTAGTCCAGAGTTCTGCTTTGGGTTCAAGATGTAAACATGCTTAAGAGGCAAAGACAAAAATTATTTGCATAGTCATAACATAAACCAAATGATATTTACATTTTTATTGAAAATATGGAGACTAGGAGTGCCTGCCTCATGGAAAAATTGGTTCATTTGCTCAGTTTAGCTCATTGGTGCTTAGCAGGCTGGGCAAGAGAGGAAAATATATGTGGATTCAGGTCCCTGAGCAGTAGCTTCTCACGGGAGGACTGGATCGCCTTATTGACCCTCTGTGAGCCTCAGCTCATTCTTGTGCAAGACACAGCTGGCCCTGCTGCCCATTCACACTGTGGGGGGTGGGTAAAATGACCCGGAGGCCCCTGGCTCTACATGGTCACCCAATTGACACCTAAACGTCTCTCAGCTTCTTTATCCTGAGGCTCTTCCTACCACTGGGACAGTGTTCACTGTCTCCCCAAAAGCAGTGAGGAATGATAGAGCAGGGAGGTTAGAAGCAGCCAGGGTCATGGGGGCAGATGCGCCACTAACTTCTGTAGCTCAGTGATGAAGTGGGGATGGTGAAGTCATCACCTTCCTACGGGGCCAGGCACAGAATACGTGCTGGGTGCTTAGCTGAGCACCTCCTATATTAAACTGTCAGTTCCTTGCCAACTGCAAAATACATGGGGAGAAAAGAGTACAGTGGCCAAATCAGTGGGAAAGGAGGAGGTGGAGTTAAGGAAACCAGCAGCTTGGCTACCACCTCCTCCCAGTTAGTCTTGTACAATCCATCGCAGGAACCTCTTAGTCCTGAACACAAGGGGACTACTGGCCATTCTGGGCTCAGCAAATGGTACCAGGCACCTGCACACCTAAACAGCCTTTGCTGGCTGCTGACATCATCCTCCCCAAGTGTCTGAGCCCTGCCATTCACTGAGCACATGCTGGGATCCTTCTGTCCTAGGAAACCAGCCTCAGCTCTTCTGTTGTCTGTAGGCCTCTGTCCCTAGAGCTTGATGATGACTCCTTCTTGTCATTCCTGTGTTAATTCAGTATCTACTCTTCAGTGGGTTGACTGGTGTCCCCCCAAAACACATGTTGAAAAAATAGTATTAACTCCTGTAGTATGATCTTACTTGAAAATAGGGTCTTTACAGAGGTGTTCAAGTTAAGATGAGATCATAATGAATGAAGGTGGGCCCAAAATACAGTGCATAGCATTCTAGTAGGAAGGTAAGGAAAAGACAGAGAACCAAGAAGAGGACAGCCAGGTGAAGATGGAGAGACACAGCAGGAGAAAGGGCAGTGAAGATGGAGGGAGAGGTTAATATGGGTCAGAAACAAGCCATTCAACAGCGATTTTAGTTTTCAGCACCAGAAGCTGGGGAGAGGCCTGGAACCATGTCAGAGCCACAGGAAGGAACCAACACTGCTCATAGCTTGATCTAGGTTTCTGGTCCCCCAAACTGTGAAAGCACACATTGCAACATCTCTTCTTTACTCTGATCAGTTTTGGGTGCTTCGTTCCAGCAGCCACAGGACACTAACATCTCACTGCCAAAGCCTGTCCTGACCATGGTAGAGGAATGAGCCCTTCCCAGCACTGCACATCTTCATCTCATCTCAGCCTCCTTGTGCCACCAGGAAGGAGCATCCTCCTTGCTTCTCTGTGGGCTTCCCTTTCAAGTCCCTGTGGGCGCTTGGAACCATGATGAGAACCGAATGCTAGACTACATTTCTTTCTCTACCTACAAACCGATCATAAATGGGAAATAACAAAAGATTAACAAGCACTGATAATAAACTAGAAAATTATAACTATATATTATAATAAAAGTTATTTAAAACTTGTGAATTATTTCTGGAATTTCCCACTTAATAGTACTGGCATGGATTTACACCTTGGGGGCATGGGTGGCCCCAGGAAGACCGTGGCACAGACATGTCCTGCACAAATTCCCACCTGCACAAACTCCTTTGTATGTGCATTTTGACTTCGTAATCAATATGAATCTGCTCCCAGCTATCCTATATCACATTTATTCCCATGTAAAAAATACTATTTTTTTTTCTAATTTAAGCTTTCTAGAAGAAGTCTATTATTCCAGGAAGGCGTCCTCTGTGTTAGAGTTTGGATGTAAAATGTCCCCCAGTAGTCTAAGATTCAGAGGTGGGGCCTGGTTGGAAGAGACACACTGTGGGTGGGACCTGAAAGGGTGTACTCTCTTCCCCTGCTCCTCCCCTCTCTCTCTGCCTCCTGGCTACCATGACATGAGAAATTTCCCTTCCATTATGCTATTTCTGACTTGCAGCCAGCTTACCATGGACTGAACCCACTGAGAGTTGAGAGCCAAAATAAATCTGGCCTCCCTTAAAATGCGGGGGTTGGGTATTTTTCTTCCAGTGATTCAAAGCTAACTGATACACTGCTTTTTTACTCTGGTTCCAAATACTCCATTGGAAGAGGGTCAAACAGCAAGTCTTAGAGTCTTCCCCTTCTGGAATTCTCCAGGATTGTTGCTTGGCTTTAAATCATTTATTAAAAGCACACAACCAATCCAACTCAAGACCAGCAATTTCTCTCTTTCTGACTAATGGCTTCACCTTAAATGACCTTAATTTCCTCTCTCTGAGAGGTTCAGTGAGAATAAATGGCCTGAAGTCCTACACCCTGGTTCACCTATAGTAGTAGCCCAGAAGCCAGGGGTCTGGGGTCTTGTTTCCTTCTTATTCTCCCTTTTTTCCTGCTTTGTTCTGAGTAGCTCATAAGAACAAGATCTAAATGATATTTCTTTTGAATCTGTGATTTTATAAAAGTAGCATCTATCTTGAATGCAGCTTATTTTGGTTGAGCAAATGCAGAGAGAAACTTTATGTGTAAGAACTGTCACCTCCCCCAAATTAGTGAGACAGCAGAAGCAACAAGAAAGGAGCTAAATGGATTAAAAAATAAACTGGGAGGTGGGGAGAGGGAGGGAGGAAGAGAGGGCCTGCTGCCTCCATTAGGAAGTCTTTCAATGTCCTGTTGTTTGACCTCATCCATTGAAGTCATTGGAACTAGATTATCTGGGTCCAGATCCTGGATCTGCCCTTGTGAGCTTAGAATAAAACTAATGGCAACAGCAGTCCTGACACAATATCACCGCCACTATGCAGGGTGGAGTGGGGCCGGGGCCAGGTGCAGGGATAGACTAAATGCCTCCCACCTGCAGGGGTCATTTTATTTTCACATCACCAGCCTGGAAGGCCACCCTCACCTCCCTCTGAAGGATGAGGAAGATGGTCAGACCACAGGTAAGGCTGCGTAGACCCCATCTACTCGGTCTCCCTGAATCCATAACCCTGGGCAGCTACTGGATCTGCCCCTGCCATGGGATCAGCTTTGGCTAAAAGGACTCTAATTGTGTTTTCATTGGGACTTTCTTTAGCTGTGCTTTGATTCCCCTCAGAACTCCATGTGATGAGGCCTGGGCTACCTTGTTCGGAGGGTGACAGCCCTTGAGGGGCAGAGATGGGCTGGTCCTACTGGGGTCTCTAGAGGTCAACCTGGCTGCCAACAGCCATGCTCACGAGTGTGATACTCTGAGTCACTCAGCCACTGTAGACAAGCAGACAGGGGTCCAGTGCTCCTCAGCAGGGCTTGCTCTGAGCAGAATTGCCCTGCAGCCTTGGGACTGGAAGCTCAGTGAGAGTGGTTAATGCTTCAATTCAGTAAGTTTTGCTTTGTTTTTTATTTTCTTCTATGCAGCAAAACCTAAGCAGTATAGCTAAGTTAATGAAATGTACACAGATAAATGACAGTAGGCTGAATCCTTTCCCCGAATCCCTTTACTATCCTATCTTTCTGAGCCCTGGTATCCTAACATGGAAGAAGAAAACGAAATAAGAAGTATTAGTTACTTTCCCATCACTGGGACAAAATACCTGCCACCCAAACTGAAAACTAAAGGAAGAAAAGTTTATTATGGGTCACGATTTCAGAGGGCTCATTTCATGGTTAGCTGACTCCAAGGTAAAGTGGCATAGTGGGGGCAGGTGGGGCTGGTCTGGCAGAGGACAGCTGCTTTCCTCATGGCAGCCAGAAGCAGAGAGAGAAGGGAGGAGCTGGGGACAAGAACTCAGCCTTCCGGGTCACCACAGTGACCCACCCCCAGGCAGCCCCGCAGTCTAACAGCACATTTCACTATGAACTGCTCACAGCACCTCATAATCCAATCACCTTCCAAAAGCCCCAGCTCTGAACACATGAGGCTTCTGGGGGGCATTCGAGATCTAAATCATCACAGAGGAGATCAAAGGTCTCCAAAGATAACTGGTCCGCTATAAACACTACACAGACTCCAGCCATAGTTCTTTCTGAAAAACTTGAGAACTTTCTGTAGTGGTTCCCTTTCTGCCTGAATACCAAGACAGTTTTCAGTGGGACAAAATGAGGGAAGAGCCCCTTTTCTCCTGGTCCTATTTCTAGCCCCCTCCTTTCCCCCTGCTTTCCCAGTCTGAGGTGCATCTGTCAGTCCCTCACTATCAAACCTGAGTATCCTCAGCATTGAAGGCTCAGTAAGGGAAGGAATTGCCTCCCACACCCTCGTACCAGGCTAGGCTTTGTGTGTGTGTGTGTGTGTGTGTGTGTGATACATAGTTTCATTTCAGCCCGATTACAACTCTTCAGAGCGGTATTGTTTTCATTTCCATTTTATAAGTAGGGAAACTGAGGCTGAGATCCACTAAGCAACTTACTAAAAGTCAGGAATAGGCAAGTGGCAGAGCTGAAAGGAAACACAGGGATTCCCCATCTTAAGGCTTGCATTCTTCTCACAAATACCTAAAAGCAATGTTTTGCAGATTTGCATGTGTAGAAGAAAAGCCCTTCCTCCCTGTTTTGATAGTATATTGCAAGTCTGCAAATCTCTCCCCCTAGCCACTTGTTACCACCTCCCCTGACCGTGGTGCCTGTGCTCCAGCTTTTCTTCCTGGATGCCTGGCTGTCCTGATTTCACTCCTACCTCCAGAGGAGGAGCGGGGGAGGAGGAGGAATTGTACTGAAACATAAAGCAGTTCATGTCTCACCCTCTTGCCCCTCCCCAGGTTCCTCTATCTCTCAACACAAACCCACAGAATATGGCTAAGGCCCATGGTGATCTTGCCCCAGCTCCTGTATGACCTGGATAGCTCCCACGCTCCCCTTGATCACCATGCTCTGACCACACTGCCCCCTCACTGTCCCTCAGACTCGGCCACAGAACCCTCCCCCAGGGCCACTGCACCGTTCCCTCTGCTGTGGACCCAAGTCCTCAGACACACAGTTCTCATTCTTGGTCCATGCTGGTCCCTGTTATGTCTCCTCTTAGCAGTCTTCCCTCACCAGCCTTTCTAAAGTAGCCCTCACCACCATACTGTGCTGCTACCTTTTCTCACTAGGACTTCGGTATCTATGTAACTTCCCACCCTCCAGGAACCTAAGCCCCAGCATCATGATCTTCTAAACCATCCTGCCCTCAGTACACAGAACACCAGGAATGCTTGGTGAATAAATGAAAGAATGAATGAGTCAGAGGCCCCGATGGAAACACAATCCTCAGAGATGGCATTGGAATGTGGATTTTATGGTGACGGTGACAAGGGGAGGAGTGACATGCTAAGGTCATCCAAGCCTTTGTGGTTGACTTGGGTCTACCCGGCCTAGTGCTGATCCATTTGCCTGCTTTCCTAGAAAATAAGACTAGCTTTACAGAGCAGCTGCAGGGTAAGAGAATAGTGACAGCAAGTAAGGCAAGGATAGGTCGATCATGGCTGGCATTTTTGATCTCTGGTTTTCAAGGCTAATTATTTTCTGGCTAGCTCTTATTTTGGGGGAAAGAGGGTAGGGTGCTAGGGCCCAATTTCTGAAGTGGTTCATCTCATGGGTCTGCTCCACTTCACGAAAATGCTGGTGTCCTCGGTTCCTGCCAACTCAGTCCCACTCAGAGGCCCCCGTGTGTGACACCCCTAAACACTTCCAGACAATCCCAGACCTGTGCTGCCGCCAGGGCAAAGTCTCACCTCCGTCCACGCCCATGATGAAGCGCCCCACGATGAGCATCTCAAAGGCGCCTGCCTGGAGGGAGCAGGCCATCAGCAATGCTGCAGAGATCGCAAAGCCATTGTTGACCAGCAGTGTGTGCTTCCTGGAAGGAAAGGAGGGGCTCCATGAGGACACCCCATGAGGCACATCACCGACCTGTCTGTCCCCGTCCTTCAGGAGGTTTGGCAGACGGAGACACAGGTACTGGGGGAAGAGCCCCAGCCAAGGATTCAAGCCTAGATCCAGCCCCTGCTGCCACCTTTGGCCATGTGACCTGGCAAGGCACTTCCTCCCCTCTGGGCTCACCATGGGGTCAAGGAGGCCACTTCCGGGGTGCAGGTGGGGCTTCAGCTCTGGTATCCGTGAATTCCCCGTGCAGTATCAGACTTATTTCTAAGACTTACATTTAACCTCTCTGAAAACCAAGGACATTTTATGATGCATGAGTCAGGGTCCAGCCAGGAAAATGGAATCCACTTTGGTTAGTTTCATGGGGAGAATTTAATACAGGGAGTTTGTCCAGCAGCAATAAAGGGCTGAGCTGCTCAAGTGGAGGACTTTTGAGAGTGGATGCTGCCCACGTGATGCTGATAAGTTGGAGGCTTGCAAGGGGCCCTGAGAGCTGACTCAGAGCGTTGCGGGTCTCCTCTGAGAGGTGCTGTGAGTCTAGTGCTGAGATGGGACAGAAGCCAGAAGCTGGAGTCAACTGCCAGTCATTGCTGGGAGTGGCAGGAAATTCAGGCCCCCAAACTGACCAGGTCCTTTCTTCTTCCCCTAGTGCTGTCACTGCCAACAGACACATGGAATGGGGTGGGAGCAGGTCCCAGCCTCCGCATGGAAAGGCAAGACATGAAGGGTAACTATGGAGTCAGGACAGTGGCTTGATGGCCAGCATAGCCACCTACAGCTTCAGTTGGCTCCCGTCTCCCTCCTTCCTTTCTTCAACTGTCCATCTCTCTCTCTCTCTCTCTCTCTCTCTCTCTCGTTCTTTTTTTAAAATTGAGTTTATTGGTACATTGTAGGGATACAGTACAGTTACTTTCATTGTTGGGATCTTGTACCTTTACATGACAGGTCTTGGTTCTCATTTTTCCCCTGTCCCTGCCCTCCCTTCACCCCCTCCTCCCCTCTCCATCTACAAACACTTTATTTCCATCTTTTCACTTTCTCACATTTTTTTCTTTTCCCTTATTACCCTTCCCCTACCCAACCCACCTTCCCTACACCTTCAGCCCTTTTCTTCCCATTTCACAATGTCTGTTATCTCATTAGGATCTTATATACTATTAGTTTATTCACACCAGAGAAACTATTAGGTATATACACCTGTGACTTATTTATTTCACTTAGGAGTATATCCTCAATATGTCTCTCTTTCTTTGTCTTTCTCTCTCTCACTGGGTCATACCCCCCTCCCCCGCCCCCTGGCATCTTGTATTTGATGAACTACAGTCCTAAGTATAAGGCTGGTCTAGATCCCTTAAACAAGGCTGGGCAAATTCCCACAGCGATCATTATTGCTGACTGCGCTGTGCTGACTTCTGTTGTGCTGTGGACACATCCTGGGGACCTCACTGTTCAGATGCATGGCTCATTCAGAGGCCTGGATTCCTGCAGCAGTGATGTTTGAGGAGTCAGGAGACTTTGTAATCCTCTGTTTTCCTTGCTTGCCAAATGACTGCTAGCCCATTGTTGAACCCTCACTCGATGACAGACCCTCTCTAAGCACTTCCGATGGGAAATCCTCACCGCAGCCCTGGGAGGTAGGCATGCTTCTTATCTCCGTTCAGTGGATGCATTAACTAGGATGCTGGCAAATGAAAAACTTGGTTTTAGTCCTATGGCTTTTGAGTCAAGGAGCTGGGGAAACATCTGCCTCCAGCAGCTTATTTTTCTGCTTAACTCAGTGAGGTGACGACTATTGAATTGATTTGTGGCTTGTGAGAAGCAAGGGGCTTCAAAGGGAACTCACTGCTCCTTTCAGGAGTTAGAGCTCTTGGGTTGCAGGCCAGAGCCATATCCACTAGGCATGACTTGTCTCAAACTTTCCATCACATTTTCCTCCTCCCTTTCCACAGCTATTGGAGAGTCCTATGATGTCTGCAGCTTAAGGAATATGGCACCAAGACTGCTTACAGCAACATCCACTGCAACAGCAGGTGGGCAAAACACCTACCTGTCCGCTAAAAGAGGACTAGTAAAATAGATCAGGGTATACCACGTGGTGGAGCATTGTGCAGGCATTAAATGGAAGGAGATGGCTTTGTTCTGATGTGGAAAGATCATTGATATGCCGATAAGAGAAAAGTGCAGAAGCCAGGTGTGGTGGCTTACACCTATAATCCCAGCACTCAGGAGGCTGAGGCTGGAGGATCACTGTGAGTTCGAGACCAGCCTGGACTACAAAGGTCAGTCTCGACTACATAGTGAGACCCTGTCTCAAAAAAACAAAAAACTTTCTTTACATAAAAAGACCAATAGGGGGTGAAGGGAGGGTGGGGACAAGGGGAAAAAATGAGAACCAAGACCTGGCATGTAAAGGTGCAAGATCCCAGTAATGAATGTAACTGTACTGTTTACCTAGAATGTACCAATAAATTCAATTTTTAAAAAAGACCAAAAATAGCAGTATGTTATGCATCAATACCACCAACAGCTTTTCCAGGTTCTGCAGTCATCTGAATAAAATTATAGCCATTCAGCACATTGCATTAAAAAAAAAAAAACAAAGAAAAGAATAATATCAAGAAAATAGCAAAGTTCTGTTGCTGTTGTGGTACCTGGCACCATTAGAGGAAAAAAATATGAGAAATTGAAAAATGGAAATAAAGTGTATGTAAATGGGGAGGGGAGGAGGGGGTGAAGGGAGGGCAGGGACAAGGGGAAAAAATGAGAATCAAGACCTGTCATGTAAAGGTACAGGATCCCAGTAACGAATGTAACTGTACTGTATACCTAGATTGTACCAATAAACTCAATAAAAAGAAAAAAAAACAAGAGAAAAGCGCAGAACTTTTAAAAATATGCAGTCATTTATATGAAAAAAGAAGTGTGTGTGTTTGTGCATGTGTGTTGGGCACATCTTTTGGAAAAGACACACAAACTGATAACTCTGGTGTCTCCAAGGAAGAGACCTGACAGGCTAGAAGACAGAAATGAAAAGTGAAGCCTTCGCTGTACATCCTTTCAGTCCTTTTAAAAGTGAAGCCACTTTGGATGCATTGATCATTCAAAAACTACAACTTTATTTTTTGAAAATGAATTTAAATGGACCTCAATGTGGAAAAAACACATTACGATTTAGTAGATACTGAAAAATTTTACTCATGACTGCCCTCCCTGATTCTGACTGGAAAGGTCACAGACTCTGGCTTCATAAGAGGAGCCTGGAGGTGCTAGTTTCTGCCTCTGTAACCTGGAATTCCCACGGCAGCCCACAGCGGGGCTGCTTGGCTCCCTCGGGATTTCCCATGATCCTCCTGGAGCCCACGGCAGCCTGATGGAGTAGCAGGCTATGGCTGGAAGTGGAGAGGGAGAGGAGACTCAGAGCCAGCAGCCTGAGCTAACGGGCATCTCACAGCCTTTCCTCGGGGTCCCACTCAGAAGGGAACCAGGTATGCCAGGGTGGGGGAGGGGTCACTCCTGTCTTCCCCCTCCTGGACTTGACAATCTACTAGGGGCGCAGTCACCAAATGAATTGTCACAGGAAAGCCAGTACAAAGCTAAAACTAGAAATTTCAGGCAACTCAGCTATTCTCCCTTTAGGTATCTTCCAAAAAGCGTTAAAGATATCACATCACAGAGACGCATGCACACCAATGTTTACAGAAGCACGATCCAAACAGCTAAGTCTTGGAAGTGGACTATTAGTCTGCCGACAGATGAAGCAAGAGTGGTATTACTCTGCCGTAAAGAAGGATACGTATGAGTCATTTGTTGGAAATGGTTGTGCCTTGTGATCATAATGTTAAGTGAAATAGATCAGACCCAGAAACTGAATATTACATGGTTTCTTCTTATATGGGAAACCCAAAGTATAAACAAAGAGCAAAATAAAGGATAGATAATAAGAGACAGGGAGAGAGACCTTTTGCAAATAGGAAGAGGACCAAGAGATGGAGGGAGAGGAAGGGGATGTAAAAAGCAGGAAGATGAGCCTTGTACATGTGCAGACTTCCCATGATGATGTGATCACGGCCTGCAAACAAGCCGATGAAAATAAAATTTTAAAACTAGCTCTCTACTGTGTAGACAGTGGAGTGCAAGGAGCTGGATTGGGAATGAAAACCAACCCCTCCTGCATCCCCTGCTCCGGTGCCCTACGATGGTTACACTGGCCATCTGACCCTGAGTGGTAACCGGAAGAGCATCTGGCCTCTCTGAGCAGCTCTCAAGCCTGGCGGCTCCCGGATATCACCAACAACACTTCCCACTCAGGGCTGTGTCACCCACCAGCACGCATGGCTAGGCGATTTCACTGTCATAAACTACTGGAGCATGCAGTCATCCTGGGGTCCCCCGGAGTACACGCAGTGTGACGCTGACCAAACCCCTACCCACATATGACCGAGGGTCTCAGCTCGTCACTAAAGAATCCCACCGCACAGCGCAGGCTCTGCTAAGTGGCGGCTTGGCCTTCGCTCCTGCCTGCCCTCACCTGCTGTCCTCAGAGCAGCCGAGTGTCCTTTCAAAGCACAACCTGATGTCCCCTGCCCTGTGTAAACCTAGTGGCTTCTCTATCAAGCTCTGCATGAGAGGCCCTTTGTCACCACATGTCGCCTACCGTCTGTCACTCTCATCCTCGTGTGTGCTGCTCTGCTCTCAAGAGCCCGCTGCGGTCCCTCAGGCAAGCAGGGCTGGCTCCCCATCCTGGCCCTTGTCCTCCTCTCTCCTCACTCTGCTGCTGACCCCTCAGATTGCTGCAGGACTGACTGATCTCATGAGCTCAAAAGCCACCTGCTGACCTCCCTGTGACACTCTCTGCTCCCAGCTGCAGAGCCCTCTCCCCTCAGTCCTGCCACTGGTTCTGTCTTCTGCACGTCCTCAACACCAGAACAAATTGTCCTTTGTATCCTTTTGCTTTTGTGTTTGTTGTCTGTTTTC